GAGCCCCCCCCCCCTCCCCCTCCCTTCCCCATCTTTTTGAGGGTGATTAAAAGTCATGTAAGGAAGAATCCAAGACACGTGAAAATGGGTACGATCCCCCTCGGCCCTATATTCTTCGCAAAAAGGGCTCCGTTCGCGATGGCACGCTTTGTCCAGTGACTGTTTTGAACATCATGAAATCAATTCCTATGTTATTTGTTACTCGTTTCATACACTGACGAATGCTGAACCCCTTCGTACTTTCATGCAACCAGAACAATTGTTCAGGAGAAATTCTTACCAAAACCCAGCAGTTCTCAAAGTATTTAGCATTGAAAGTCAAGCTAAATTATTAAAGTTGATGAAAACCATCTGGAAATCATAATTAAGAGCTCAAAAATCAACAACGCCCTAACCTAACACGTGGAAATTTTTATTTCGAAAGAATCCATGAAAGCTTAGGCAATGTGAGGTGCTTTGCCGCACGTAACTTTCCATTGGTACACGAACATGACTAAAATTTTGTCTAGCAAAAAACGTATATTCATTTTCTTAATAATTTACTATCTAATGATTCCGTGTATAAAAACTCGTAGTAAATCAATCCGCTGGATGCTATCGAATGCTTTTTTCGTAATCGAATTTGAATTTTTTTTTGTTCTTGACCTAGGCATCTTCATTACCTTGGCATATTTCATCGCTTCATCATAGAATTCGCAGGGTAAGGCAAAGATGTGATATAAGAAAAGTAACGAGATGACTTACAGCCATATCACAAAACAGGTCGCTGCTCGTGAAGCGCACAGTGACGGGGAAAAAGTGATCGGATTGTCCATTTGGAGTACTGAATTCCAGTGAACCAGTTTTGTTTGTTTCATCAATAACCGGTAAGCTCCAAACAAGCTGTGATCGCGATTTCACATATTCGTAACTTCCTTCACATTCCGAGATTACCGGCACTGTCGCTGGCCTGATACAAATTCTGATTACATTTTGAAAATCACAGAAAAAAAAACTAACAGTATTCAAGCGGTGTCGAGAATTTTGCGCCCCTTTTTACCGCACAAGTAGGCGATTACCACCGAAGAGCATAGGAAGCAGGGAAGTATCTGCAAAACAGGAACGTACTAAAAATATGGTAGCTTTCTCCTAATTTTTGCAAAACAGAAACGGAAAACTTTCATATTTTACATTTTTCACAAAAAAATTTCCAAAACACTTAGCTTTCTCCCACACCTCGCCCTCTCTCTCCCCTCTCCCCAAAACAAAGGAACGGGAAATTTTCTTCTGCGATTGCAACATAACAGCAAACAAACCAAATTCGACAAGCAATGAAGTTTTACACCTTGCGGAACCAATTTTACAATCCAACATGACTTCAGCGATTTGCAAAAATACTTTGTTTTTGTAACGCGCAAACAGACTGCAGCACTTGCAACCACGTAATTTCAAAACATACAAGGTGATTTTGTTGGTCCGAATGCTTAACTTTTAAAACGTTGTGATGAAGCATGCAAATGAGTTTGGTTTGATGAATAAATGTATTTTATCGAATCATAACTTTCCAGTCAATTTTAGCAATTTCCAGTTCAAA